ATGGCCACTTGGCCGAGACCTGCCTGGAAGTGGAGCTGTTCCTCCAAGCCCACAAACTCCACGGTCAAAGTTGGCGCGGTACTGATCGGATGGGAGGATGACGCTAGCACCAGGCCATGGCAGCACGATGGCATAGAGCAGCTGAGTTTCGACATTCTGGGTGTACGACACGCGGTAAAACTCCATGCGGCCGCTGAAGGCACCAACCAGCGACGCAGGCTCGTACGCTTCATCGATGCGGCCGTAGCACATGAGCGCAAATCCGTTCGTGACGGCAGCCGAGTACCAGGTGAAGGACAGGCACGTCGAATTCTTGGTGCACAGGTACTGGCATTCCTCGTACGTCTTGACGCCGCTTCCAAGCAGCACGGTCGTATCAGAGCTGGTTCCGGCCGGAATTTCAAAGTTGTTGATATCAGCGTAGCGGCGCGAGATGAATCGAGGCTCGGCCGGGCTGCTGTAGTTGAAAGGGAAGACCAGCTCGGATTGCTGCACCGTCCAGATGCTCGTGCTGCGTAGCCAAGGTTTGAAAAATGGGTTTGTGAGTTTGCAAAATCTCCAACCAAAGTGATTCGAGCAACCCAAGACAGGCACAGCTTACTTGTAAATGGCTTCGCCGTTGATGTCGAGCCACGCACCGATTTCCAACAAGCGTTCTTGCTGGAGTTCAGGGATGCGGCCATCCGCCGACGGTCCTACAACAGGTTGAACAAACATATCGGATAGTACAACGCATGTAAGATGGGGCTGGACAATCCGAACTTTGCACCGAACGACGAAGACGTACCAATATCGAGAAGCAAGTTGCCACCGTTGCAAACGCAACGAACGAGCAGGGTAATGACATCCAGGGCAGTCAAATAGAGTTCGGCGGGGGTCATGCGGTTGTAGCCAAAGCTGTGCAAATCCAAGCCCGAGTTTTCCTCCCACTTGTGATTGAGGAAAACTTGCGCGCTGTACTCGGCAGTGTAAAAGCCGCCATGCACACCGCGTGTCTCTTCTCCCCATCGGTCGTTGATGACAATTTTGTCTGGTCGTTACGAAAAAAGAGGGCAATGAAGGATTGAGCCACCAAGACACTCACTACTCACTACACTCACTGCGTTGCGTTGCGAGCCACAAATGAGAAAGCACCTACCCTTGACGGGAGACGAGTTAAACAGCCAAGCCAGGAAATCGGGGGACTTCCAGAACGACGAGTTTTGCATCCACTCGCCTGCACAGATTGTGGGATGGATGATAAGATGAGTTTGTGGCATTTAAAAAATGGCGACCAAAATCGTTTTGGCCATTGCCGCTCACCATCGGTCCAGAGCAGGTCAGGTTGGTACGTGTTAATGATGTCGTGAAGCTGAGGAGTCATGATCTCGTCCACATACTCTTCAGGATTCGGTCCAGTGTACTGGCGTCGTCAACAATCCGCAAGTGAGAAAAAAACAAACAAAAAAAACAAAATCTCGTCTCAACAGGATCGAAATCACCATACCAGCGGGTTGTACCACTCAAACAATGAAAAGTACATGCCGGCGTGCAGATTGCGCTTGCGGAAGGCGGTGAACAGCTCGCCAATTATGTCGCGATGAGGACCAACATCAACACTGTTCCAGTTCCAGGAAACCGAGCTTGGCCAGTTGGTGAAGCCTTCGTGGTGCTGATGATATTCAATTTTCAAAGTTGTACACAGTTATTCAAGGCTCAACGCGATTGTACTTGACCAAAAATTACAAAACACAAACTGAGCTCTCAATGCCTACCTTGCTCGTGGGAACGACATACTTTGCGCCAGATCGTGCAATCACATCAGCCCAGGTATCCGGGTCGAACAGCTCGGCTTTGAACATCTGTAGAAGGAAGTGGCGTCAGTCGCAGTTGTGGAAATCTGGCAACCAACACGACTTGAAACAACATGATCCTTACAGCAGCAAAGTCCTGGTACTTGAAGTTCGGACCGTAGGTCTTGTTGTGGAAGGCCTGGTAGACACCAGTCGTGTCGCTTTCGAGGCGTTCCCAGTACCTGAGTCAAGTGCCAATCGCAAAAAGATAGTTGAGCGCGAGCAAACTCTTCACTTCACACAGGGGGTAGCGTCAAAATTCCCTCGATCAAGGATCGATGCAATTCAACACTAGAGCGCGACCTTACCATTCAGCATAATCGCCAACGACTGACCAAGCGGGAACAGAGTACTGCCAACAAAAACACAAATAGCAGAAGCAAAAGATGAACTGAGAGGCAATGATTGGAATGGCAGCAATAAATCCAACAATAACAACAATAATAATAACATCCAATAATAACAATAGTATTAATATTCATGGTCGCGAATGTCGCTCAAATGCTCAGCGGAACCGATATGACAGAAGTCACACCAAATTGGATTCCTGCTCAAATGTGCAACGACCACGAGCGCTGTGCCAGCACACCATTGCACTCAGTGCGCTTTGGAAGAAGGAGGTTGTATTGGTGCAAATACGCCTTGTGCAAGAGTAGAGCGAGGCGACGGGATGAGGAGGATGGGGTGGGTAGGGGAGCCGAAAGGGGGATTTTGACAAAATGGAACAAGAGCCAACGGCTGAAATGAACGACGCTTACCACTCCCCAGTGAATAAAGATGCCGAACTTGGCACGGTCGTACCAGTCGGGGATGGGACGCGAATCCAGCGACTGCCAGTTGGGCTGGTAAGGCTGAGCCGCGGCGGCAGCAGCAGCAGCAACGCAGCAGCACGCGAATGCGAACAAGAGTGCCGCAAAACGCATTTGAACAAAAACAGAAAAAAAAAAGAAAAAAAAAAGAAAAAAAAAAAGATAGACTGACACGACGAAAAGTGCTGGAATAACTTGACGATGCTGTTGATAAATACAGACTGAACATATAGACGAAAGTACAATATCAACACGTTCGCAGGGGTTGCGGAGGTGGCGAGGGTGCACAGCGATTTCACAAACTTCTCCCTCAAATCTTTTGGGTCGGATTCCATCTCCAATCAACAACACGCAAAACAAGACAAGTTGCAGAAATGGAGTAATGATAAAGTACAAAATTCCGCAGAAACGACACGCACACACACAAACACACCACACGAAAAAAGCGAGAGAATACACGCACACACAAACACACAAACACAAAAAAAAGCCACACCAAAATTAACGCAGCAAAACAAATTGCTCTTAAACTGACGACTCGGAGTGCGCTCGACGATGCTCGTTGGGCGCAACGAGGAATGAGGAGGTATGGGGTGAGGGAGAATGAGAGGCAGATTCGGGCTGGGACACATCACGACTGTCGACGACGTCGATGATTGGGCTCGACGCAAGAATGACCGAGGTGTGGCGAGGTGAGATCAACGCCACGCGCGGAGTGCGGGCAGCGGCGGGCGAGATGGTGGGCGTCAATGTGCCAACAGCACTCGACGCACTAATCGTGCTGGACGCCGAATCACTCTTCGTCAATGTCGTCTCATCACCATCGGCGTTCAAGCCTGCCTTGTCTGTTGAGGTGCTCTGAACGAGCAAACGCTCGGGTGCGCCAAGATCGCTGAGGGTTTGCGCCGTCGGATAGCCGACCGTGGGAACTGGAGGCACTCGATCCGCAGCAGACCATCGGGCAGGAAGTGCGCTTGCGCGGCCTTGTTCGCGCCAACGTGCCGCGAGCAGATTTAAAATGTAGGTGCACCACAACTTGAACTGGTTGGTCTCGCCAAAGAGTCGTGAAAAGCGCACGGCGTACAAGGAGGTGGGCAGCTGGCACACCTCGACATCCAGGCTGACGCGAGGGGCAGGCTGGACGACCACTCGAAACGCATCCACCTCTGAAAACGGAATATTGTTCCCGCGTAGCAGCTCTTCGAGCGCCTCCATCAGCAGGTAGGCATCGTCCATAAACGTCATTTGCACCGATGGGACGTACGACGAGCGCCGAGGGCTCGAGCTACGTCGGTCAATCAACTCCCCAAGCGAGGACTGCGAAGGGCTGTTGCGCACGCCTGTCGTTGCAGAGCTCATTTGCCCCGCAGTGACGAGAGGTGTCGGGGCACTAGGCTCGCTGGGTGTCGGTGCAGCCTCGGGCCATTGCCAAGGCGGACGGCTCGAACTTTCCGACACGGCTGCCGATGTGGACGTGGCCGATCCAGGACGGTCAGCTCCGCGTTGAACATCAAGCTCAGCATTCGAGTTCAGGTCGTTGACGATCGGCTGCGCCGATCCTGGGAGGCCGGGGCCTGCCGGGAAGGCGGTGTACGATGCAGAGCCGTGTAGCACACGCTGTTTTGTTGCTTTGAGCTGCTTTGGGGCACTTCCAGCAGCCATGGCAGTACCAGAGTCTCCCTGCATCATCATGGACAAAGCACGTCGGTCGATGAACGATAGTGGCTCGGATTCAGCATCAGTGATTGGCAAACCCGGAGCTTCATGGTTGGCTGTAAAAGTGTCGCGGGGCTCATCCTGAGCGGCAGGGAAAACATTGTATGACGCAGAACCTCGCAACAGACGCTGTTGGTCGCGATGGCCTTCAGAATCAGCTTCGTCCTCCAAGAGTGGTCGGGGCTGTCCACCCGAGTGTGGCGGGAGCTGGTCGCGTGCAAAGTCGCGCGTGCCGTTGTCAACCATACTCATGCGCTGCGCGTGAAGGAGACTCGCCCTGAGCACGGGCCTCCCATCAGCGGCAGTCGATGCGTGTCGCACGGGTGGCCGTCGAGAGGCTCGCTGTGACGACGCTTCGGAAATGTGGGACGCCGTTTCTTCCCGCTCCTCGCCGCACGAGTTCAGCAGGCCCCAAAAGCCGACAGTCCGATCAAACACGTACAAGGGCGATGCAGGAATGGCGGTTTTGCGGGACCGGATGACGCGCCTGGAGATGGACGAGGCGCGTCGCGGCGGCTGTGCACGATGCGTGACCTGAACGCTGCCGTCCTGCGACTCGATCGAGCTTCCAGCAGCGAGCCATAAGGACGTCGACGACATGGGTCCTGGCGACAGCTGTACTGACACCCGCCGCGTTGAGCTTTTGGGGGACGAAGGCAATTGCGGGAGTTCTGAGGAAGAGGGCGTCCCTGCTGGTGCTGGTGCCGCTGCTGTTGCCGGTGTGCTTGCTGTCAGATCCAATGGAGGTGGAGGTGATGAATTGGACGGTTTGACGAACGTGCTGGATCCCAGATCCAATTTGGGTGGAGGTGACGAGACCGAGGGATTGGTTGGTGTTGTTGCCGATGTCAGTGTCGCTCCCGCCGCTGTCGAGGCGGTCTGACTGGACTCGGCGCGAAGAGAGATCAAGGGCGAGCGAGGCGTTTGTGGCGAAAGATTAGTGAGGGACGGTAAAATGAGTCTCGATGTGGTCGCTGATGGAAGTTGGTCTCCCGATAGGAGTGTG